GCAGTTTCTCATCCCAGTCATTGGGGTTGGAGTCCACATAGGCCTTCAGCATCCCTTTCAATGTCCCATTGAACCTTTCCACCAGCCCATTTGTCTGAGGGTGGTAGGCTGTGGTCTTAAGGTGTTCCACCCCACAGCAGTCCCACAGGCACTTCATCACCTCCGCCAGGAAGTTCCCACCCTGGTCCATCAGGATCTCAGAGGGAAAACCCAGCTGGCAGAAGACCTTGATGAGGGCATCAGCAACTACGGGTGCCTCGATGGAGGTCACACAGGGCACCTGTCTGGTGGGGTGGACAGGCACTAGCACAGGGGTGGGCAATTATTTTGGGTGGAGGGCCGCTTACTGAGTTTTGGCAAGCCATTGAGGGCTGCATGACAGGCAGCCCAGGGTAGATAAATATTACTTTTCTAAATTTTTTAGGGGCCCTACAGGCTGGGTAGAATAGGCTGGTGGGCTGTGTCTGGCCCACGGGTCGCCCACCCCTGCACTAGCGCCATCAAATCCCAGGTTGGAGGTGGTTGCCTGGCCCAGACCCTGCACAGGCCAGGGACCACTCCTCCTAAGCCAGCCTGGTTCAGCGTTTCTCCAGCCTCGCCCGGAAACCTCCAGTGCCCGTTCCATGCCCCCCGTGCCCCACCCAGGGCAGGCAGCTCCCCTGGCTCTGCCCTAGCAGGGCCAGCCTGGACCAGGCCAGACAGCAATCTCTGCCTGGGTAGCCTCTGGAAAGAAACACTTCACAACGCATTCAGAGCAAGCCAGTGGTGTTTATTGTGATTCTGCACCATCATTTCCTTCGGGGTTTTAACCTTCATTTCAGCTGTGATTTACCCTTGAATTTCATTTTACCTGGATGCTGAGATGCACTACTGCTGCTGACGATGACAACAATGATGATGGTGGCTTGTCTCTGATAAGATGAAGCTTCTGATAAGATGTGGGTGTATGTGTGAGTGTGTGTGTGAGTGTGGGTGTGTGTGCATGCATGTGCGTGTATGTGTCTGGGTGCAGCTGGGCCTGCAATGCTTGGATGTGTGCAAGGAGCATGGGCAGTTGAGACTCAGCTGTGCCCTGTGGCCTTTCCATAGCGCTGGTTTTGTGCAAAGGGCACTGGACATGACAGGGTCACGTTACAGCACAGAGCCCACAGGGACACAACAGCAGCTTAAATATTTGCATAAGCTACATACAAACACACCTGCACACTAGGCCCAGCTGGACACAGCCACACATGCACACACAGAAAAACATTCCCAGAAAAGCCATGGGCCCAGACCCCTGGGGCTGCCCCATTATACGGTCACACTGGCACAGAGGAGCACCGGTTTGCCTGGCCCTTTCACAGCTCCTCTTCCTGCGTGGCTTGGGGTGCACGGTACACGGGGCACAGGCTGGGTTTCAGCAGGACATAGCCTTTAATTTCATAGCTCATGTTCCGCCAGTCCATGGGGTGCAAAGGCAGGACCTCATTGTTCTTGATCAGTCGAATTTCAGCTGGAGTGAGAACATGGTCCCACATGTGCACATCAGTGATTTCCCCAACAAAGGACTGGTTCTCATCAAACCCGGCCCCATAAGAGTCCTGATCCTGGCCCAGCAGAATAACAGCTTCAGCCTTCACAGAGTAGCCTTTCTGCAGCCCTTTGCGGGGCAAGGGCTTCCCATCCACCCACAGCTGGACGATGCCCGTGGCAGACTCCCAGCTGGTGCAGATGTGGACCCACTCAGGCCATTTCTTCTCTTTCTCTGGGACTCGGAAGGTCACTGCTGTCCCCCCTATGTAGATCTTGTACACGTCAGGGAAACTTCTGAAGAGGAGGATCTCATTGTCGCTGGTCCTGCTGGCGTAGGAAAAGAGGCTGTAATCCCGGGTCAGGTCAGAGAAGTATCTCAGGCAGACGGTGAAGCTCTGTAGCGACTGCTTGTTCTTGGTTCCCAGTGGGATATAGGCAGTTGGAGAAGCCTTAGGGAATATGAGCACGTGGCCAAAGAGATCTGCCAGGGGAACAAGAGCAGTGGTCACTGCCCAACCTTACCCAGCCCCTGTCCTGCACTGCACTGCATCCACCCTCAACACCTTGAGCACAGGTGGCTGGAGCAGCCCAGGACCAGGAGCCCACAGCAGCTGAGCCAAGCAGTGCAGGAAAGGGGTGAGTGACACAGGCAGGGGGGCGGTTTCCAGGTTGATCCTGCACTGTCAGCACGGCCTCTTCAGGGAGGGCTGAGCACAGTGCTGGCCCTTTGGGCTTGCTGCAAGGCCCCAGAGCCAGCTCCTCATCACATGGCAGAGGCCTCCCAACCCTGGATGGCACAAGTGCCCATACAAATGCACATGAGCAGCCCAGCTGCTGCCCTGCAGCTTTCTGCTACCCCCAGGCACAGCTCTGGCTGAAGTCCTCACTCCCTACCTTCCTGGGCTGTGATGCCTGAAAGACCAGTCAGGACCAGGAGCCAAAGCAGCAGCTTCTCCATGTTCTTTTGGACTTTGGGAAAGCAGCAGCAGTCAGGGCAGGAAGAAGGAGGAGGGATGAGAGCCGAGCTGCTTTGCAGTGGAGCCTGTGCGTCCCCAGTCACAGGGCCCTCGATGCTCGCCTCCTTATATCCCAGCTGTGATGGCAGCAGCAGGAGTGTGCAAACAATGTGCCAATACTTCCTGGTCAGCTTGAGCTGGAGATGCTGGGGTAGGGGCACCTAACGGTGTTGACACTTGGAGATCAATGGAGCTGATTACAGCTGCCTGGCAAGAGCAGGCCTCCAATCAGAGCAGAGCAGAGCTGGTCAGAGCCTCCAATCTGGGCAGCAGGTAAGGTGACCCCCACATCCCTAATTGGACGGGACAGTCCTGAAATGTGAACATCAAGTCCCAATCCCAGGCTGAATGACTCCGGGACAGCATTTGTCCTGGACTCACCTTGACACAGTCAAATCATAATAATTATTGACCCAGTATCATGTGCAGGGAGCTGGGTTTTCTGTTCGCCACAGAAAAACGTGAGAAAATGCAGGTTTTTCTCCTTTGAAGGAAAAAAACACGAGAAACCATTGGTTTTCCCTCGAAGGCTGGAAGTTACATCCTGCAAGAGGCTGCTTGGGGCTGGGGGGTGGACTCAGGGCGTGCTGTTAGGGTTACCACCCATCCCTAATTGGACGGGACAGTCCCGGAATGGGAACATCAAGTCCTGGTCCCAGTCTACACAACTCGGGGACAGCTTTTGTCCTGGATTCTCCAGTATAGTTCAGGGGTCCAGTTTTGGGAAGTGGCAAGTTTCCCCTGGCAGGTTACTTGGGGCTCCTGGAAGCGGGACTCAGCGGATGCATGCACATTCCTACCCACATGCACATGGCCAGGAATACAGTCAGGCAGTGTGGAGAGCAGCTCCCTGAAGGTAAGTTTATGGGGGCGAGGGGGCTTAAGGGTGAGAGTTGGGGCACAGATCAAGCCCCCCATGGTAAGGAAGGCAGAGGGGCTAGGGCAGTGCATGGTGCCTGGGGCCGGGGTGGGAAGAAGGACTGAGCCATGGGTATCTTGTCCAGGGGGCAGGGACAGTTCCTTGCCTCTGTGTGCACTTCCCAAAGGGGGGCTTGTGGGTGACACTCCCCCAGATTTGTGTACAGGGTGGGAGTCGATGCAGGTTGCCTGCTGTGGGCTCAGTGCTCCCTGCCCTGCTGCCCTCCACACAGGGGCCCTGCACCACCATGGCAATGTGCCTCCCACCTGCCCAGCAGCAGTGGGGGCAACGGCCCCATGGAGTTGTGCCCCCTGCTGCTGCCAGGCATGCAGCGGTGCATGGCCAGTGCAGTGCTCCCGGGGGAAAAGCAGCAGGGCAGGGAGCCTCGAGCCTGCAGAAAGCACCCACATCTGCCCCCCCACTCTGCTCATATCTGCTCTGGCCGTGCCACCAGTGAAAACTCTGGGGGCATGGGGGCGAGCTGGGTATGTGTCTCACCTTTTCATTTTGAAATGGTGGTCACCATATGCCACATGCATGTGTGGACAGAAATATAGCTCCAGGCAGAGGTGAAGAGCAGCTCCCCCAGCTGCCTGCAGGTAAGTCAATGGGAGGGGAAGGGGTATTGGGGATGCAGGAGTAGATTGAGGCCCCCATGCACATGCTACTGGACAAGGCATGGGGGCAGCGGATCCCCATCTGCTTGTGGGCCCCCAGGATTGGAGCTGGGCTCTGCAGAGGCACTTGGGCAATGTGCCAACCTTGCTGCCTTCCTGGGCACAAAGCAGGCTTTGGGCCTGTTTGTGCCAGGCCCTTCCCTGCCCCAGCGAAGGGGGTTGGGATTCAGCAGGTTTTTGTCACGTAGGCAGGGAGGAAATTCCTCCCTCCCTCAGGAATTCGACCCCAGTGTCCCAAGCTGACAGGGACAGATTTCTGGAGGGAGACACAGACGGTGGCATTTCTGCCACAGGCTGCCAGCTGGGAGAGGGAGACGGATGGACAGCCAGCCCAGGGGCTGACCCCCTCACTAGTTCCACCCATCACATTGCTCACTTGTTTGAGAGACAGCTCCCGCAAGGCTGACAAGGATGAGGGCCAAGGGCTGCATGTTCTCCACCTGCTCAGAGCCCCGCGGGGCAGGAACCGAGCGGCCGCTGCTGGGCCTTTCATGGCCAGTGTAGTTAATGAGTAAGGGATTCTCAGAGCAAATATTTAACCTGTCTGCAGGCAGCCAGTGGAGTTGAAGGCTCCGTGGGGGAGGCAGGGGAGAGCGGGGG